TGTGTCTGTCTGTCTGTCTGTCTGTCTGTCTGCCTGTTTGTCTGTCTGTCTGTCTCCATATGTCTTTCTACCTGTCGGCTGTTTCTCTGTCTCTCTGCCTGTCTGTCCTTCTGTTCGTTTGTCTGCCTGTAAGCTTGCCTTCTTGACTGACTCTCTGTTAGCCGTCTATCCGTCTTTCTCTCTTGCTATAAACGACGGAATAATCTTACCAAGATAATTAATGTTCGGAGTAATATTTCTGTCCAGATAATCAGGTCGAAATCCATCCATAGAAATAAGAATTATCGGATCTGGCAAACTATTCGTGAACAAAAACCAAGACAAAAATCATAGTGAGATAATTAACTAAAGCTAGTGAGCAAAGATGAAAGTTCTCCTAAACTTGCGTCAGGCGAAATATTCGAAAACGTAGCTTTATTTTTACGGTTAGGCCTACCGTCCACTCTAATCCGTCACAAAAACGGGGCTTCGCGAAAACGCTCTTGAAACCGTTTTTCGTTTTTGTGTGGAGGAAACACATTTTGAAAACAGCGCTTTTCAAAGACAGTGGCGTCTCAATGTTCAAGTGATTTCCCTGACCGAGTTATCCTCAAACATAAATCCAAAATGACCGGTGATTGTTGCGTTTTTAAATTCCTCGTCTTCCTCCGGCGTAGTGTGGACGAAAAACATTTGATGCGTTTTCAGACGTGAAAGCTCCGTTTTAGTGCATGGCTTATTCCCAAACACCCTATTTCACCGTCCAACATCATCTAGAACGATGATTGTGTAAGTGATGAAAATGAATTGAGCCTGAACAGAGTGATTTCCTCTCCAGGAGTTATCTCACCTCATTTCCTGGCATTCTGGAGTTGATCTGCCACCTAAATAGAGGTAAGGAAAAAAGAGTTGGATCTGAGAACACGTCTACACGATCACCTTTACGTTTGACGAATATGCTTATTTTTATTTTCTGCGCGGTTTTTGAATGTACGAAAAATTCCTTCATCTAACTACCAGCCTCATGATGGTAAAGGGGTAAAGTTTGCATACGAGCCAGGCCGGTGCTTATGGTGGGTGCTTATCTCCGGTTTCTGTAGCATGAGGCGACTGGGAGTATTTCTGATACCCCCTGGATGGGATGCTAGTCGATCGCAGGGTTACCCCCAACATCAAGTTCGCCGGTACCCATTTATACACCTGGGTGGAGAGAGGCACTGTGAGAGTAAAGTGTCTTGCACAAGAACACAACACAATGTCCCCGACCAGGGCTCGAACCCGGACCGCTCGATCCGGAGACGAGCGCAATAATCATGAGGCCACCACTCCAATCAAACTGATGATACAGGTGATTAAACAACGTAAAGATTTTGGAAAGCCGAAGTTTCGAACGTTAGCGGTGGACCGTGGATCGCGGGTGTAATTTTGAGACATATCTGGTTATTGTAAAAAAAAGCCATAGAAATGCCCGCAAACTAAGATCTCACCTTCAGATTTCTTCTTTGAATGTGTTTTAACCAGAAACACCAAAAGTAAAATAATTATTAACAAAATAACTAGAACTGCACCCTGAAAGAACAAAAAATTTAATATTGATAGATATTTATTAAAACGCAACTTGATAATTAATGGTTGCATAAGTTTAAATTTCAAGTTAAGTACACATACGACATTGACAGTACCACAACTAAGAGTAGTCGTCTTTTGCTCAAGCCACAATATCTCTTATCCTGAAAAAGAGCGAAAAATATAAACATTTATTTTTTAAGAACACAACATAACATAACATTCGTTCGTTCTACTATTCGTTCTACTACTTGTTCGTTTGTTGGTTCGTTTATTCTTTGGTTCATTCGTTCATACGTCGGTTCGTTCTTTCGTTTGTTTTTCGAGAGTGTGTACATCAGTGCTTACCTTCGATTGAGCGATACCTCGTTCGTTGATTCCTTAGTCTACCGACTTTCCAATAATTGTTCCAATAGCCCGAGTATGAGGCTTTACAAAAGAAAAGATAATGAGAACAACGGGGGCGGGGGGAAGGAGGCTAATACTGAGGCTAACTTTTTAAAGGAGCTACGTCGGTCACGGTCTACACTTCTTGAAAATTTTAGCCTAAAGTTTTCAAGTTCTTCGTTTGCAATCCGTATTAATTTTGTCCATTCTAAACCACCCTTGTTCCTTTACGGTTTATTATTACCTCCTCTGTGTTTTTCTTTCCTTCAATTTACTTTTCTAAATGGCTAAAATAACTCAAAATACCATGACTGAGCTACTATTCTTCCTATCCAAACGAGGACTCCGCCTTACACAGCACTTAAATAATTTCTTTTATAAGCACCTACAGAAGCCAGAAAGCAGCTCTTTAGCTGTACTCAGCAAGAGATTAGGGCGTTTAAGAAAACCACAATGGCAAAGTAGAAAGTGTAGAAAGTCGAAGAATCGCGAGAAAGCTGGACACGAGCGCGAAAGCGGAAGCGAGAAGGGGTGGTGGTGGGGCGGGGGGGGGGTGCTATTTTTTCCTTTTGCACGCCTTCCGATTGCCCCCTCCCCCCTCCTCAGTTGCCGTTTCACTCGCCTTTTCCATGCTACAGTCTACTGAGTTATCGCCCAATAGGATAATCTCTACGATCTTGTCAAACAAACGTTTTATGTCAACGTCAGAAGTCAAAAACTCTTCTGAGCTTAAGCCGCGATCATATCCACCAGCCCTCCCTTCCTGCATCGCATGTCATCAGAACTCTGCAGTCCCGCGTGACCCCAATAACTGTATTGCGTTACTCACAGCACCCAACAGGTGACATGGATGTAAGGGGAGAACAGGCAGTTTGAATTGAATGTCTTAACTCTGAGCTCGATCGAAGGCTGTTAGCGACTTAAAGGATGTAATTTAACTTTAAGCATACCCATGCGAACTTTCTAGTCTCAATTCTAGGCTAGATTTTAGACTACTCCATGTATTCGAATAACCTGCATCATGCAATCATTGGACTAAATCAGGAGCCACAATCGGGAACGGAGACCGTAAGCGCGCGCCATTTCTAGTATTGGCTCTGTCCCTATGATATGGGACAATTTTGTACCATCGTGTGCGGCACACGCGCGTATATGCTGCGAGGATTCTTGCGGATATAGCGCGGGGAAATGGCATCCGAAATTCCCGAAATGTTTGATGCTTTTGGCACACAACTCAATATGTTTATGTCTGTCGGAATTTCGATTATGGCTCCTGACTAAATTAAATATCTCAGAGACAGCAAGACCGTAACGAAGAATCAGCACAGACATATTTTCGCCAAGTACTTGCAGTGACATAGTAGCCTTACTATCTCGCAAAAGTAGAAGCAAACACATGTAAACAGATCGCTAATGAATGTTAAACAATGGCATTGTGGCATCTATATTATCAATAAGTAAGCTACATTGTAGTGTAAATTTTATGCCCTCCAATTTACAGAAAGCGTTCATCTTTTTGTAGCTAAGATCCTTGTAGTGTTCGGCGTACGAGGAACCAACTACTCACATGATAGGTCGCGAAATGCATGAACGTTGTACTTGCTTTTTATTTCAGAAAACCGTAACCGAAAGACCTTAAATTATTTGCCGAACCCTACGTTGTCTAACTCACCTTTGAGGAGTGATCGATTTCTACCCTCCATTTCTCTTCCTCGTCGTCAAGTTCGGGGGTCAGAATTGCTTTAGATCCCATGGCCAGGTGAAAAAACGGCAGCGGCAACAACTGGCCTAACTTCTGTTCGACTTCCCGAATTGCTCTAGCATGAATTAACTGTAACATACCTCGCCGGCTGATTGGTTGACATGAGTCACGCTTTCAGCGAGATGTTGTCACGCATTGCTTTTGCTCGAAAAACCCGAAATGTTTTGTCCATTGGCGCGGGGCTCACATTCTCAGGCTAAAATATATATATATATTTTGACCAGGCATTTATATTATCATTTTGATTTTATTATTACCAAGACACAAAGTACGATATTGCTTTCACAAACCACACGATGTATTGAAGTATGTAAGCTCTGGGCATGTTTCTTTTGGAATTTACCATTAAGAGTTCTTATCTTATTTAAGTTCATATTCATTAAAACACATATTTCGGATGAAACATCATCCATCGTCAGTTTACAATACCAATTGAAAATGAGCAATAAACACTTTAACAATGAGTGATGGAAAAAATAAGAATCATTAAGGATTAACCCGCGAAGCACAAACAAATGTGAAAATATTACGCTAAAATAACACAGACCAATTAGTATGAACGGGATAAATTAAGATGTTTAAAGAAGGCTGCTTCCCTTTTCAAGTCAGTATATTTTGACGTTAACTATATGTTGTCACTTTCATTCTTTCGCGGAAGAAAATTATCACCAAAGAATTTATATCCGCCTGTAACGCTTCTACCTGGATCATGTCATTGCTGCCCAGTCGAAGAAAATCGCTCCAATTTTGTAAAAATCCCTTGAGGAACTTGCCCTTGAAGCTATGACTCCAATCGCACAAAAACATTTCATTCTTGTTTATTGACTTGTAAAACCACACCTAGCTGGACTTTCAGAGTTCTTGTTATGTCACTACTGTAAGGAATTTTAATATCTCGTCTTTCCCTCCCCTAAACGCCTCTATCGCTGCCCCTCCCCCCCGCCGTAATGTTACTGTTGAGAACAAAATGCAAGGCTAACTCTTAATTAAGTTCAAAGCTAAAGGAAAAGACCTCGAAACGAGGTTTGTTCCATTCGTACTTGTGTTTTTATTTGGAAGGCATCACATTTCTGAGATGAGTTCAAGTTATCTGTCTGTCTGTCTATCTTTTTTGTCTGTCCGTCTGTCTGTCTGGCTAGCTGACTGGCTTATTGTCTGTTTGTGTTTCCTGTCTAGCTATCTGTCTGTCTGTCCATTCATCTGCTTTTAGGTGCGTTCGTTCTCAATTTGTATGCGTTTTCCTCACTTGGTCGCCATCTCCGCCCACTGGCATTTCTGTCTAACTGCCTGCCGTTTGACTCTCACAACATATATGGTTTTCACTGGTCCTTTAACTACCTCCTAACCTGCGGAGACATGCCAGATCCTCACATAACAAATATACTTATATTTTAAAAATATTAAGAGATAATGATCAAAGAACTGATTCACCCATGCGAATCTCCAAAACTCAATGTCAGATCGCTTTATTCAGAAACAGCAATTTTCGACGTAAACAAGAAGCCGAACCTGCTACCATTTTCATGTTCCCTTATTGACCAACAGAAAACAAAAGCTTAACAATATCAAGGAAACTGTAGAATCGACACAATTCAGACCCAAAAAATTACATTAAGTTTCTAAAATCTACACAGCGGATATCATATGACACATATAATAATCGCAACTGACCGTACTTTACGATCCCAGCGATATAAATAGCCTACGACGCACATTTTTACAGCCATTTATAAAATACACAATTAGCTAGGCTTTTTGGGGTTTTCTTGTTAAAAATATATGAACGCTTTTAAATAATTATAGAACACTCCTACTAGAGATGTCTCTCTTATGAGAAAATAAAATATATATGGTTTTAATTTTCTTTTACCGATAAAAAACAGACCACAGAAACCTGGAGCACACAAAAACCCTTAAATACATTGCCAAAAAATAAAAAAAAGGTGGGAAGGTAATAGCCCCAAGCCC